AGGATAAAAGTGTTTTAAACACTGGATTTTTTTTTTTTTTTTTTTGAGACGGAGTTTCACTTTTGTTACCCAGGCTGGAGTGCAATGGCACGATCTTGGCTCACCGCAACCTCCGCCTCCTGGGTTCAGGCAATTCTCCTGTCTCAGCCTCCTGAGTAGCTGGGATTACAGGCACACACCACCATGCCCAGCTAATTTTTTGTATTTTTAGTAGAGAAAGGGTTTCACCATGTTGACCAGGATGGTCTCGATCTCTTGACCTCGTGATCCACCCGCCTCGGCCTCCCAAAGTGCTGGAATTACAGGCTTGAGCCACTGCGCCTGGCCTTTGGATTTGTTTTTTGTTTGTTTGTTTGTTTTGTTTTTTTTTCTGAGACGGAGTTTCACTCTTGTTACCCAGGCTGGAGTGCAATGGCACGATCTCGGCTCACTGCAACCTCTGCCTCCTGGGTTCAGGCAATTCTCCTGCCTCAGCCTCCTGAGTAGCTGGGATTATAGGCACGCGCCACCATGCCCAGCTAATTTTTTGCATTTTTTTTAGTAGAGATAGGGTTTCACCATGCTGACCAGGTTGGTCTCGATCTCTCGACCTTGTGATCCACCCGCCTCGGCCTCCCAAAGTGCTGGGACCACAGGCTTGAGCCACCGTGCCCGGCCGGATTTGTTTTTATCTTATAATCACTGAATCTGATAACTGAGCATGTTTTCTTTTCTTCTTTGGCCTAGGAAACTCAAGAATTCCAGCTGCTATATAGGATTATATGAGATTCATTTCTATGTATTGCCTTTTCCCTGAATTTTTGCCTTGGGCACCCAAATTCTTTGCCTTGGGTACCTCAATTATTTATTTTATAAGAAGAGTTTATTCTTTTTTTGAGCAAATCTCCTCGCTAATACCCAATTTAATTGCCCATAAGTTCTACCTTCTACAAAACACCACTAGAACATGAACACAATTCAGCCAAGCTCTTTACCATTTTATAACAAAAATCACTTTTCCTCTAATTTCCAATAACATGTTTCTCATTTCTGTCTGACTTCATCTGAATGGACTTTACCATCCATATTTCTACTTGTATTCTGTTCATGGTTAATTATATGTTCTTGAAAAAGATGGAAGCTTTCTTGGCAAATTTCCTCCTTTCTTTCTGAGCCCTCACCAGACTCACCATTAAAACATGCTTCATGGCAGTATCAGCTTCTCATAGCATGCACTTCAGAACTCTTCCAGCCTCTATTCATTACCAATACCAAAGCTGCCTCCATACCTTTCGAGGTTTATTACAGCAACATCCAACTTTTGGGGATGCGATAACAAATTACCATAAACTGGGTAGCTTAAAAAGCAAACATGTAAGCCAGGTGCAGTGGCTTATACCTGTAATCCCAGCACTTTGGTAGGCTGAGGTGGGCAGATCATGAGGTCAGGAGTTTTAGACCAGCCTGGCCGACATAGTGAAACCCTGTCTCTACTAAAAACACAAAAATTAGCTGGGCATGGTGGCACGTGCCTGTAGTCCCAGCTACGCAGGAGGCTGAGGCAAGGAGAATCATTTAAACCCAGGAGGCAGAGGTTGCAATGAGCCAAGATTATGCCACTGCACTCCAGTCTGGGCAACAGAGCAGTCTGTCTCAAAGAACAAACAAACATTTTGGCCAAGTACAGTGGCTCATGCCTGTAATCCCAGTACTTTGTGAGGCTGAGGCAGGCGGACCCTGAGGTCAGCAGATTGAGACCATCTGGCCAACATAATAAAACCCCATCTCTACTAAAAATACAAAAATTAGCTGTGTGTGGTGGTACCTGCCTGTAATCCCAGCTACTCTGGAGGCTGAGGCAGAGGAATTACTTGAACCCGGGAGGCAGAGGTTGCAGTGAGCCAAGATCACACCAGTGCACTCCAGCCTGGCGACAGAGTGAGACTACGTAGCAAAAGAATTTAAAAAAATTAAAAACACACACACATTTTGGTCAGGCATAGTGGCTCACACCTTTAGTCCCAGCACTTTGGGAGGCCAGGATGATCACTTGAGGTTAGGAGTTTGAGACCAACCTGGGCAACGGAACGAGACTGGTCTCTACAAAAAAAACAAAAACAAACAAACAAAAAAAACAATATTTTTTTTAAAAGTAGCTGGGCATGGTGTTGCATGTGTCATCCTAGCCTCTTGGGAGGCTGAGGTGAGAGGATCACTCAAGCCCAGGATTTGGAGGCTGCAGTTAGCCATGATTTTGCCACTATACTCCAGCCTGGGCAACAGAGCAAGATCCCAACTCAAAAACAAAACAAGACAAAACAAACGTTCATTTCTGGAGGCTGGGAAGTCCAAGATCAAGGTGCCAGCAGATCTGGTATCTGGTAAGAAGTCTCTTCCTGGTTTGTAGGTGGTCACCTTTTTTTTCTTTTTTAGTAGTTGGAACTACAGGTGCACACCACCACACCCAGATAAATTTTGTATTTTCTGTAAAGACAGGGTTTCAACATGTTACCCAGGCTGGTCTCGAACTTCTGAGCTCAAGCAATCTGCCCACCTCAGCTTCCCAAACTACTGGGATTACAGGTATAAGCCACCTTGCCTGCCCAGTCACCTTCTTGTATTCTCACATAGAGCCTCACATATCCTCACACAGAGAGAGAGTTCACTCTCATGTCTCTTATTTAAAGGGTACTAATCCCATTCATGAGAGTCTACCCTTAGGACCTAATCATCTCCAAAAGATCCAGCCTCCTAATACCATCACATTTGGGGTTAGGATTTCAACAGGTGAATTTAGGGAGACACATTCAGTCCATAACATGTGCTGGGCAGTTTACATAAATCATCCATTTAATCTTCACAGTAAGCCATGAGATTGGTAGAGTCTCTAAAGATGAGGAGACTGAGATTAATATATATAAGCCACTTGTTCCAGGTCACATAGTTGGCAGGAGGAGAGTTGGGAGGCACACTCTGCTATGGCTCCCAGGTCCCTGCTGCACCTGCTGTCTGGGTGGTCTGCAGCCTCCCTGTGCCAGAATGATCTGGGATGCTTGTTAGGATGTAAGTTCCCAAAGTATCCAGTACTTTTTACCTCCATGAAGAGGAACTTTAAGGGGATGTGTTGCTACGTATGATTGGCTGTTATGCAAAGGGGAAATAACCTTTGTTCTGTATAGTTGTAGAGGGCAGAACCACACCAGCAGGTGGACTATGCAGAGAAAAGGTTGGAGGTGGGATTTCTGCACACTGCCTTTGAGTTCACACTCAAAGGAAGTTCACACTTTTTACAGATGAGGAGAAAGGAAAGTTGAATGTCTTATCCAAGTCCACACAGCTGAAAGGGGCAGAACTAGGGTGACGCTCCGGCTTCATTTAGAGCTGGGGGGTTGGTGAGAAGAAGCATATATTCACCTCTAGGCCCAGGGAACACTACCTTCAAGTTGCTCTCAGAGGGAAAGAGCAAGAGAGTCAGTCAATGCATGGATAGATGGTCAAGGACACCTTCCCAAGAGGAGAAGCCCCAGGCCTGGGCCTCAACAAAAGCGTAGAGGTGCCCAGGTGGAGGTGGGCAGGCCTAAGGTGACATGAGACTTGGGCCTTGCAGGACTGGGAACCAGCTAGAGTAATTGGGTGCCTCAGCAGGGTCTTCAGTGCCTCAGTTAGATGCTGAGCACAGCTGGAGGCATCTGACTCTTCTGGGTGCCCCAGAGCTGCAGCCCCTCCCTGTGGCCTGACCAGGCCTGTCTGCTTGTTGCAGTGCAGGCAACCTGGATGGCCTATGACATGGTTGTGATGCGCACCAACCCTACGCTGGCCGAGTCCATGCGCCGGCTGGAGGACGCCTTCCTCAACTGCAAGGAGGAGATGGAGAAGAACTGGCAAGAGCTGCTCCATGAGACCAAGCAAAGGCCATAGGCCCCACTGGCCCACCACAGTTGCCATGCCACCATCTGCCTGTGTGACAAGGTCACTGGGGTATGGAGCTGGTGCCCACATGAACAGCTGTATGCACTGTACTTGTTTCTTAATAAATTTATTTTTAAGCACAACCCAAGGACTTCTGTGCCATGATCCACCCAGCTGCATATTAAACCTCATGAACAAAACATGATAAGTGCAAGCTGCAGATGCCTTCAGTGAATTAAAATGTATTTGGTGCCAGTGGTGCAGAGCATATAATAAAAAACAAAACAAAAAAAAAAAAGAGGGCCCAGTCAGGGACACCCAGGCTGGAGGTTGGAGTGGGCCACAGTCAGATTTATTCACCTCTCTAACATTGGTTTCAAAGTGTGTAAGGGGAGAAAACGCATCATGGATTGTGCTGGACACCATGCAAGGTGTTCACAGCTGTGATCTCATCTCCCACAACTCTCCTGGATGACAGATGTCCACTGTCCACATTTTACAGATGAGGAGAAAGGAAAGTTGAATGTCTTATCCAAGTCCACACAGCTGAAAGAGGCAGAACTAGGGTGACGCTCCGGCTTCATTTAGAGCTGGGGGGTTGGTGAGAAGTGGGGTGAACTTCTGGAGGGCCTGGGAAAGCCCCAAGGCTGCAGAGGGTGGTGAGTCTGGAGTGGGCCTGGCCTGTTGTGGGCTGGGAGTATGGATAGGGGCTGCAGACAGCAGGGCAGCACCAGTGGACCCAGTTTCAGAGGCAAAGGTTCTAGGTCCTTGAGAATCCACAGTGCCAAACAGACCCAGGTGGCTACGTATGGGGTCTGGACTGGCAGAAAATCCCAGAGGCCAGGGAGTTGCCTGGGGGCTTTCTTGCTCCCTGTCATGCTGACAGAGCATAGGAAGTCTGAATGGTTTCTACTCCTCTCCTCTCTCAGTTCAGCAGAGCTCCAGTGAGCCAAGTCCTTGTCTGTGGGGTCGTATCAGTCCCTGGCTCTAGGGAATGGGAAGTCCCAAAGACAGAGGAGGGTGTGAGCAAACTGAGTGGGTCTATAAGCAGGTACAGAATTGACTCAGGAAACAGCATGGATGTGGAGGGATGGGTAGAAAGGAGTCTGGGCTTCAAAATAATTGACAACCTTTAAAGCAGAAGGGGAAAGTCATCCAGAAACAAGAGCAGGAAGTTCTGATCCCAGCCCCCTCCCTGAGCCCCGGCCTCTCAGACCCACCCCACAGGGTCTCCCTGGAGAGCAGTGAAGCAGCCCTGGTTCTCTGCCTGCCACTCAGAGTGAGGTCTGCAGCCTGTCCTCAGGCGGCAGAGTCAGGATGAATGGACTGAGGACCCCTGTGCTCCCCAAGGGAAAGGGCTGCAGCTCCTTGGCCTGGAACTGGGCAGTTCCCCCAGAGACCGTGAAGGTGGCAGTGACCTGGGGGTTGAGGCAGTAAATGGTGTTGCCCAGGGTGGTGCAGCGCAGGGGGGTGGGGGTGGGCAGGGGCAAGGAGGCAGCCCTGCTCCACGAGCCGGTCACCGTGTTGTAGCGCATCACGGCAGCGCCAATGCCCCGCAGCAAGTCGAAGCGGTACAGGAAGCCCCCCAGCGCAACGATGTCGCTGGAACGCCGGTGGCTGGCACTGTATGGGCACTCGTCCCAGGCATCCTTCGCGGGGCTGTACCTGAGCAGGCGGTAGAAGAGGTGACCCCCGGTGACGTAGATGTCCCCACGGCAGGCCACAGCCTCATGGGCCACAGGGAAGGTGCCTGCGGGGAGGGGCGCGCGCGGCGTCCAGGCGTCTGTGCGCGGATCGTAGCACTCCATGCTGTACAGGCACTCGCCCCCGATGGCGTAGAGCAGCCCATCCAGGGCCACCAGTTTGAGCTGGGCTCGGGCCTGCTGCATGGGCCGAACCTGGCTCCAGATGTTGGTCAGAGGGTTGTAGCAGAAGACCTCGTTGGAGCAGACGGCCTTGGCACCGGAGCCACGGATGCCCCCCGCCAGAAACAGGTAGTTGTGCATGGTGCAGAGACCGCAGCCCCGGAGCGGGGCCTCCTCGGGCACCTGGGTCAGGGGCCGCCAGGTGTTCTCCTGGGGGTTGAACACGTGCAGGTGCGTACGTGGAGGCAGGGTCACAGGGGCCGCCACAGGAGGCTCCTCGGCACAAGGGCCCCTGGGGAGCCCTGACCGGCCACCCTGGTAGAGGCTGGGCAGCACAATGACGCCCAGCACCGCCTGGCCACGGCGGGTCCGCAGGCTGACGATGCGCTCACGGTCAGCCGCGCTCAGCTGGCGGTAGAGCCGCGGGTCTCCCAGCACTCGCAGCAGGTTGTTGCTCATTAGCGCGTAGGTTTCCTGCGCCAGGCCAGTCTCCCCGTGCTGCTGGGCGAAGGCCAGCACGTCCAGGCAACTGCCCAGGTCCAGCCGCCGCCTCAGGACTGCTGCCGTGGTAGGCGCCAGCTCCCGTAATCTGGGCTTCCGGGACCCTTCCACCACCCCCCAACTCCCGGGCCTCTGCAGAAACACCATGAGTTTCCGAGCCTCCTTCTGCTTCTCTGTGAGCGCCCCACTGCAGCCAGCAGGGCTGCCCACCTCCACCGGCACCTCCCCCTGGGGGTCCCCTGGAGCGGCTGGCCTGACTTCCTGCTCTGAGGTCCGGGCGATTTCACGCCTGCTGCGTTTCCGTGGCTGGGGCACCGGCTGTGAGTGTCTCACGGAGGGGGAGGCAGCAGGGCCAGACGGCCTCTGCGCAGGGGACTGTACGGAGTCCCTGGGTGTTGCGGCTTGGGGCAGCAAGTCTAGACTCTTCTCCCTGGTTCCCTCTCCTCTTAGGCCTGGGGAAGGGTCTGGGCTGGGCGAGCCCTTGGTTTCGGAGCTTCTTGGCCATGGCTGACCTCCAACCTCAACCAGGGCCCCTTTACCTGTCCCCATCACCGTCCCCACTGAAGAAGAGGAACCATGTCTGTCCTCAGAGTGTGTGCAAGTGCTGGGATCCACAGAACTCCCAGGAACCACCCTTGGGACACTCCCTTGGGGCCTGTCTTGCCTGGGGAAGGGGTGGCTTCTAAGCACCATGGTAATAAGGTTTCCCCAGCTGGCTGAGACTTGACCCTCCTCGTAGCGCCTGGGGAGAGCCACACTCTCCTGAGATACAGCCTGTGACCCGCCAGCTGGGGCAGGGGATGTGGCTGGGGTTGGGGCTGAGGTGGGGGCTGGGGTTGGCGCTGAAGTTGGAACTGGGGCTGGGGCTGAGATACCGGTAGGGACTAGTGGTGGGGCTGAGGCTGGAGTTGAGGCTGGGGTTGGAGTTGGGGCTGGAGTTGGGGCTGGGGCTAGGGCTGGGGCTAGGGCTGGAATTGTAGCTGGGGCTGAAGTTGGAGCTGGGGCTGGGGCTGAGGAGGGGGATGAGGTTGAGGTGGGGGCTGGGGGTGGTGCTGATGTTGGGCACAAGGCTAGGGCTGGGGTTAGGACTGAGGTTGGAGCTGAAGTTAAGACTTGGGCTGAGGCTGAACTTGGGGCTGGCGCCGCTCTGAGATTTTCTCCCACAGAAGGACCCTGGGTAACCCCCAGGGGCAAAGAATCTGAAGGAGAGGGAGGCGGGAGAGTCAGGGCTTCAGGTGGGACCCCCGGGCCGGGAGTCGCAGGCGGGGAGGCAGAGCGCGGGCTGGGCTCAAGGCTCCGGGAGGAGGCGCGGTTGCGGCAGACTGCTGCCATGGGCCCCAGGTCAGTGCTCCGACTGTCGTCTCGGGAGCCGTAAGCCCTGGCCTGGCCCGCAGCGTAGGCCCCTGTGGCCCCCGGCCCTTGAGAGAAAAGTGAGAGCCCTTGAGGCGGACTCTCCAGCCAGGGGCACGTGGATCCTGGGTCCGGGCGGGAGCTCCGGGTGCCAGGGACCTCGCTCCTGGCCCAGGGCCAGCCTCCCCCGGGGGTGGGGACCCCCGGAGCCTCCCTGCTCCCGCCAGCCTTGGCCCCAGAGCCCTCTTTCTGGGACCCAGGCTGCCGGGCGCGGGGTGCGGGCTCCTGAGTGAGCGGGGATCCTGTGGGGAGGCCGCGCGCGTAGGCGTCCAGGGCAGCGGCCTCATCCACCGCGTCCCACACGCTCCCCGCGGCGCCCAGGCGGAGCTGGTCCAGTTTCCGGGGGCGTCGGACTCTGTCTCCCAAGCTAGCGTCCATCCGCCGTCGCCGGCCCCGGCCTCTCCCCAGCGACCCCGAGGGCCCCGCGCCCGCCTGCCAGGGGCCGGTGTCCTCTTGCCCCACAGGGCCCGCGGCCTGGCAAAAGGGCGCCTTGACACCACCTGCCTCCGCCTGCGCCTCCGCTTCGCTTCCAGGGCTCCGAGGGGTGAAGTGGATCAGGAGGGGGGCTGACATCCCCCCTGCTTCGCTCTTGCCCAGGAGGGCAGTGCCTGGCCTGGGAGGCTCCTTTCCTTCAGCTCGGGGGGCCATGGGGATGGCGCCGCCCCGCTCCTGTCCCAATACCCCTCTACGGGCCTCCTCGCTAGCTGTCTTGAGTGGAAGCGCGGCCATGACGGCCAGGCCCCCGCCCGGAGCTGCAGCAGGGACAGGGCTCTGCTGGCCGCGTCCTGGAGGCTCCTGCTTCCCCTGCCCTGGGCTCTGCCCCTCGCTGCCATCACTGACCTCAGACTTCGGTTGCAGGGCCGGCTCAGCTCTTCCTGCCTGATGAGGTTGAGCCCCGAGGGCTGTGGACACTGGTCCTGCCACCTCTTGTTCGCTCCGGGAGCCAAACCAGTGTAAGGCCAGCACTGTGGCAGCCACCACAGCCAGCGCCAGGAGGGCCAGCACAGCACTATCCCAGTCATTGTCACCATCCCAGTCCCAGCCCCAGAGGGGACTGTCTGGCTCCAAGGTACCCTGGACCATGGTTTGGGGCTGCAGCCCACTGCAAGGGGCCCAATGGCAGGCTGGCAGTTCGTGCAGCACAGAGGCCTGGGCTGGGGCACTGGCCAGTGCCCCGCCCCACAGGCTGCCCAGTTAAGGTGGACCAGTCCTCCAAGTCCTGGGAAAGATGGGTCTCTGCTTGCACCCAGGCCTGGAGGTGTCTGTAGGGCCTGGCTGTAGATATCAGGACACAGCAAGGCTTACAGCAGGACAGGAGTCCAGGGTCTCCGCAAGCCCCCCACCAGCTCCTGCCCTCTTCTCCTCCTCTTAGTCTCCAGTATCCAATGGCCACATTTCTGAGCTCTGTGCTGGCATCACAGCCAACCTAATTCTGTCTGGTAGACCCTCACACCCCTAAGTTCATCCCACATCCCAGAGTCTCTCCTCTCAGCCTGGGTCCAGCTTCAGGGGGCTCTGGCAGGGAAGGTTTACCCACAGGGAGATGTTATCTCTAGCTTTAGCAATGTGATGCAGCCCTGATGAAATTACCAGAAACCGGAGAGGCTGATTCCATTGTGGGCCAGCAAGGGAGGGGTGGGAGCCATGCCTGATGGTGGTCTCTCAGACTGAAGAGGAACACCCTGGGGCATGGGTCCTGGCAGTGAACATTGTCATTGCAGGGATGTAGTGGAGGTTCACATCAGGGCACAGGGAGGGGCACAGAGGGGAGACTGAAGCTCCCACAGCCCTTCCAGCAGCTTCTGGACTTTCTTTACTCTGGGTTCACCAGACCTGGGATAGGGTTTTCAAGTCAAGAGCAAAAAATAAATGAGATAAATAAAATCCAAACATATTTCTCTCTTTATGGCCAGGCTTATTTCAACCCATCTAGACCTTCTAGGACCTCCTGGAACCCCTGCACCCATCGCGACTGTTGTGACTGCGCAGATGAGACTCTCACTATGCCTATGGAGAGCTCCGAGCTCAGTCTGCCCCCTACTCCAGTTACCGCATCAGCTAGCACCTGGTATCCCCCCTCTGGACCAGTTGCTCTGTTAGCCAGACTTCTGGGTGTCTTAATCTCAATCCTCAGCCTTCCCTCATCTGAATTGAGGACTTGCCCTTGAGACCACATCCTGGCTGGTACCTCCTTGCCCCGGCTCAGGCCGGCATGTAGGTGTTTCTGCTGGGTGTGAGCACTTGGTCCCTTAGGGAGGAGGCTTGGCTCCTCCGTCTGCTTCTCACTTAATCCCATCACAGGAGTGAGTCTTGGGACAGGTGCCAGGTGAGGCCCAGACGTGAAAAAGAGCCTGGAGTCCCTGAGACAAAGATAGGGCTCCCTGGAAAGTGCTAGGTGTGTTTCCTCCCTCTGGGACAGAGTAGGCCTGGGGATTTCTCCCTTACTCAAGCAGCAAGGAGATGGCCTAGGAGTGAGCGTCCCTGGCACCCAGCCTGAACTCTACCGAGCCTCAGGTAACTCACCTTCGAGCTCCGCCCCCGCTCCGGGACTATTAGATGACAGTGAGAGGGTGAAGATGGGCCGTATACTTTAAGGTGGACCTGAAGTTCGGGGAAGGCTTTCTAGACCCTTTCTGCCCTGATTTTCTGTCCCAGCCTCAGGCTTTCCCTCTTGGTTAAGTTTAGGCTGCAGAAACCTTCAGAGGATGGAGATGACACCCTCCACCTGCACCTTCTTATAGGCCACTCAGTGCTCATATGTCAACTCCACCCAGCTTCTGGAGACCCCAGGCTGCTGTCAGAGGACAAGGGCAGTGTCCAGCATGTGATGCCTTAGGACCCCATCGTAGGAGAAACCACACAGAGGAAGTCATCCCACCAGCCTTATCAGGCGCGAGGGTGGCGAGCAAGGACGTGCTCAGTCCCATCTTCTGTGGAAGGGAAATGCCTCACTTTGTCAAAATCCAGATCAAGGACAGAACTTTGTCCTTCATGGGGAAATTTTCTGTCAGGAAGGTGACTGAGGACATGTCATCTCCCTGAAATGCAGGAGTTTTGCCTCCTAACTTCCTAGAGAATTAAAATGTGGCACTCCCAGGCACAGTGGCCTGAGTAACATAGCAAGATCCATCTCTTTAAAAAGATCCAAAAAGAAAAAAAAGAAAAAACCCAAAACCCAAAAACCCCCAATATAGCTCTGCAAAGATGGCAGGACTTGAAAAGCACAAGATCCCGGCAGCAACTGCGAAACACAGGTCACTGTTCTGCTTGTGCTATGATAGTATAAATATCACAATTTACTACCAAGCAAAAAATTAAAATCAAGAAAATGGGTTCCAGGAAGGTCGGTCCAACCTTCAGCAGCCTCCTTGGAGCACCTTTCTGATTACCTGTGGAGGTGGCCCAGCCACTGGAGGAAAGAAACCCTGTCCCAGTCTCTCCAAGAAGAGAAAGACTTCTGCCTAAGACCTAAAGCTGCTGTTTCCTCAGAGACAACACAAGCCTTCAGGGATTGGCTCCATCTGCAGCACCGGCCCCGGGGCCACACCTGGAGGGTTAACAGTGATTTGCGGGTGAAAAATGTGAACCGGCAGCACCTGGGTTGGGATCGCAAAGCTGGAGACTGCGAGGGCGTTCGGGGAGCGAGTAAGCCCTTGCCAGCCCCAGGAGCAAATTTCTCTGCATTTCTGAGTGTGGCCGCAGGAGGAGGCTGGGATCTGAAACCGGCAAAAAAGTTGGACACCAGGGCCAAGGTATCGGATCACCTCAAGGTGGGAGGCTGAGTCGGGCGGATCACCTGAGGTCAGCAGTTCGAGACCAGCCTGGCCAACATGGAGAAACCCTGTCTTTACCAAAAATATAAAAATTAGCCCGGCGTGGTGGCAGGCGCCTGTAATCCCAGTTACTTGGGAGGCTGAAGCAGGAGAATTGCTTGAACCCAGGAGGCCAAGGTTGCAGTGAGCCGAGATGGTGCCACACCACTGCACTCCAGCCTGGGCGACAGAGTGAGACGCTGTCTTAAAAAAAAAAAAAAAAAAAAAATGGCCAGGCACAGTGGCTCAAGCCTGTAATCCCAGCACTTTGGGAGGCTGAGGCGGGTGGATCACGAGGTCAAGAGATCGAGACCATCCTGGTCAACATGGTGAAACTCCATCTCTACTAAAAATACAAAAAATTAGCTGGGCATGGTGGCGCGTGCCTGTAATCCCAGCTACTCAGGAGGCCAAGGCAGGAGAATTGCCTGAACCCAGGAGGCGGAGGTTGTGGTGAGCCGAGATTGCGCCATTGCACTCCAGCCTGGGTAACAAGAGTGAAACTCTGTCTCAAAAAAAAAAAAAAAAAAAAGACACCAGCACAAGCAAAGGGATTTTTCCTATTAATAACTAGTCCTCCTAACTCCCCCAAAAGGAGAGTGGTTAAAAGCAAAGGCTTTTGGCCAGGGGCAGTGGCTCATGCCTGTAATCCCAGCACCTTGGGAGGCTGAGGTGGGCAGATCACCTGGGGTCGGGAGTTCAAGACCAGCCGACCAACATGGAAAAAAAACCCAGCTCTACTAAAATATAAAATTAGCCAGGCACGGTGGCACATGCCTCTAATCCCAGCTACTCTGGGGGCTGAGGCAGGAGAATTGCTTGAACCCAGGAGGTAGAGGTTGCAGTGAGCCAAGATCACACCATTACACTCCAGCCTGGGCAACAAGAGGGAAACTCCATCTAAAACACACACACACACACACACGCACATACACACACACACACACACACACACACACACACACACACACACTCTTGCTGGGCATGGTGGCACATACCTGTAATACCAGCTACTCCGAAGGCTGAGACAAGAGAGTTGCTTGAACCCAGGAGGTGGAGGTTGCAGTGAGCCCAGATCATGCCACTGCACTCCAGCCTGGGCAACAGTGTGAGACTCTTAAAAAAGAAAATAGAATAAAGGTTTTTATATTTCAAAATCTTTTTTTTTTTTTTTTTTTTGAGACAGAGTGTTGCTCTTGTTACCCAGGCTGGAGTGCAATGGTGCGATCTCGGCTCACCGCAACCTCCGCCTCCTGGGTTCAGGCAATTCTCCTGCCTCAGCCTCCTGAGTGGCTGGGACTACAGGCACGCGCCACCATGCCCAGCTAATTTTTTGTATTTTTAGTAGAGACGGGGTTTCACCACGTTAACCAGGATGGTCTCGATCTCTCGACCTCGTGATCCACCCGCCTCGGCCTCCCAAAGTGCTGGGATTACAGGCGTGAGCCACCGCGCCCGGCATATTTCAAAATCTTAAGACAAATCACTGTAGTTCAGATACTGGAAACTTTCATATTATTTTAACATGCGACATTAGACAATTTCAAGAAGTTGTTTTAGGTACTGCACTTGTGTCTTCTTAGCCTTCCTCATCCCTTTTCACCTCCGGAGCTAAGCATCTTCCTCAGCAGCACTTCCATTTCATTGGCCCCATGAAATCAGCCTGACTCAGTTTCTCAATAACATGAAATGCAGTAGACCACTGCAACCTTCCAGAAGCTCTCAGCTCAGTTTCCATTCTCCCAGTCTCTTGGTTCTCCTTCTACCTCACCAGTTGCTATTCCTTCACTTTGCAGCTGAAAATGTGCCTGGAGCCTGCTTACACAGTGCAATTTCCCATGAATGATGCCCAGTCATTACCATGAACCTGTGGCAAGCCAGCAAGGTGGCCCTGGTGACAGAAAAAGAAACTGCACCAGGAGCTGGGTGTAGATCTAAGTCACGTTCCTTACTAACAGTATGTTTTACAACCATGTGTGAAAGAAAAATCTGATTCACAATAAAATTGTAAAGAGTGTATTTGAATAAGAAGCAATTTTTGAACTGGGGAACACCTGACTGAAAGAGGTTTAGTATTCCAGAGACAAAATATCAAATGCAAGTTTTTATTGGGAAAATGTGGAAGCACAATAAAGAAATCATTTTATTTGTTACAGTTACACAGTTCCTTTCTTTGGTTTATCCTGCTGGAAATTCAGTAGTTATATAACCATGTTAGTTGGTTACTACAATGCGGTAGGGTTAAAATTTATCTCTATCGCCGGGTGCGGT